TTATGACGTCATCAAGGTCATATTAGTTTTTCGTCAATACCTCCCGATCAAATTGAGCTAGCGAGTCGGGAAAGCCACCACTGGGCTCAGGAAGACCTGCCAAATCGAATGATATGCGACATGACCTCTTTCGACCAACTTCGTGACCTGGGGGCGCTGACCTAACCGTGACCTGAGGTCAACACCCTAAGTTGACCTGGCCCAAACAAAAAGTATATCATTTGACGTGCCTGAGCGAGGCAAACACGATGCTGCCAAAGTTGCGGCTCTGCGGCCGTTTTTTTGCTAAGTTACTCGCCAAAAATTGAACCGTACCTTGGGACACTTGACCTGACCTCAGAGGTCACCGGTTGACCAAGGACCTTAAAATCGGGTACCAATCTTTGCGTCTCGTAACGGCGCGCACGCTCGTTTTTCCGCGACGCGCTAGCTCCACCAGTGGCGAAACGGCGAGGGGGTCGTACCCGCCCCCCCCCCCCTCGGCCGGCGCGTATGTAGAAAACCAATAGGTTCGGCGAGGTTTAAGACAATTTTGCCATCCTGAGGCTCTAAATGAGAGCGAAGTGGAGCAAAGTGGAACTTAGAGCGAAATGGAGGCCAGATTCGTGATCAGCGGCTACAAATCATAATCGTACTATAACAGTGTAACGCTTTTTGGGGCGACCAACGGAGCGAGCGAGAGGGTGGGCCTTGCGCGTGCGAAATTGCGAGGGGGTACCTCCAACTAACTTGTGCACTGCATCCTACTAACCGGTCCCTAGCGATGTGCCAAATTTGAGCACAATCGGCCTGGCCGTTCTCGAGATCTGGAAGCGTCACTCTGCACGTTCGCACGTGCAAAATGTGTCCCAACTGACTTTTGCACTGCACCCTATTAACTCGAACATTTACCGGCCGATTTTCAAAATTCAAACGGTGTTCGATAGCCCCACCGGGGGCTATCAAAGGTCGGATTTTCACCGTTCACAGGCATTTCAAGAAATGTGTTGTGAAATCGAGTAAATTGGTAAGTTATCGAACACCATCGATGGTACATTGTTCATCAAACACATACTTTGCTATCTGAGGTCACTGATACCAGATCAGATCACAGAGGTCAGGTCACTGGGGGGTCACAATATAAGAGTTGTGTGATACATGTTTTATGGTCCATTTTACATGACAGATGCGATAATGTGGGTCAGGCAGCCTTTGGGGCCAGCTTAGGTCACGTTTTGGTGAAAGTCAGGTCAAGGTCAGGTCAAATTAGGTCAAATTTCAAAGTTGATATTTTTGCATAAAATGGGTATCGAATTTCGATGCAGCTCGTCACGGGGAGTCTAATGGTGGTCTTTGTTACCCTACGTGGTCTAGAATTGCCAAAAATTGAGTTTGAAAATTTGACGTAATCATTTTTGAACAGTTTTTTTTTTCGCCATAACTTGGCCAAAAAGTGAGATATCGATCTGAAATTTTTGTATGTAGATAGAAGACGGTAGGTACTATCACATATATTCCGGTTTTTTCGAAACTCAAAAAACTTTTTGGAATTTTTGGTTAATATATAACAAAATGCTTTTTTGATTTTGGGGGGTCAAAACTCAAAAATTTCAAAAATCCGAGATAGCAGTTTTGTAGCCCTGTTAATTCTACACATTTTATGTTTTGATCATTTTTCTGCATCTTCAAAGCTGTAGGCCTGACAGCTCTTCTCGCGAAGTTTTTTTTTCGGTCGAAAATGGCAGAACATGACGTCATTTGTGGCCAACCTATCAAAGCTTCTTGAAAAAATTGGTCACAATGTGTAAAACTGATGCCCGGAGGGGTCCTGAAAGTTTGGTGGCAATATCTCCAGCCGTTTAGGAGATATCGACGGAAAGGACAGGGGGGACCGTTTCGCCCCCCTCTCTCCCTACGGGGCGCGGGTTAACCGGCCCCTAACCATGTACCAAATTTCAGCGCAATCGGTTCAGCCATTCTCGAGATCTTGAATCGACCCCTGCACGTGCGCACGTGCAGCAGCACCCCAACTCTGGCACCCCAACTCACGAAAGACTACGCTCGCTTCGCTCGCTCCTTAAAAAATATAATTACGAGCGAGCGAGCGCAGCGAGCGAAGCGAAGTCTTTTCAATATAACGGAAAATCTCAGTATGAGCGGGCCGGCCCGGCCTGTACCTAACGCTTTTGAGAGGCTTATATCTCAGCAACTGCTGGACCGATTGGCCTGCGGTCTTTTTTGCTGGGTAGCCCCATCCCTTCTACCCCGTAATTTACTGCTTTTGATACATCTCAATGAACGTCATGGCACGTGCCACGTGAAAAGTCAAGGGTGTTCAAGCTGTTTTGCAAAAGTAACGCTTTTGGGAGGCCCATATCTCAGCCAGCAACCGCTTAGGCAATTGTCTTGCAGTAATTTTTGAAGGGTAGCTGCATCCCTTCTACCAAACGCCGGATACTCTTGATCCATGTGAGTGACCCCCCACTGCACGTGCAAAATGCAAAAAGAGGGTGTGTGAAATTTGTTCCCATTACAATAACTCGGCAATTACTGGGGCGAATTCGTTGAAACTTGGCATGCAGGTAGGCACCCATTAGACAATGCATTCCTATGTGTAACGGTTAGGGTGCTATTGCACGTGCGCACGTGCAGGGGGCACTTACAGATTTCGAGAATGGCTGGGCCTATTGCGCTCAAATTTGGTACGCGAGTGGGGACAGGTTAGTAGGGTGCAGTGCAAAAGTCAGATGGAGCCCTGTTTGCACGTGCGCACGTGCAGGGTGACGCCTCCAGATCTAAAGAACGGCTGGGCCGATCGCGCTCAAATTTGGCACAATTCTATAGACAGGTTAGTAGAGTGCTGTGCACAAGTCAGTTGAAAGCACCCTCTCGCACTTCTGCAGGTGCAGGGCTCACTCTCTCGCTCGCTCGTTCTTCGCCCAAAAGGCGTTTTACTGGTAATATAATATCATATAATCATGTAACCATACACGATATATAAAACTGTTCGTAATTTGCCTATCCCTAAAACTATTTTTGGCAGCTATTTGAAGTTCACGTCTGTGACGCCGAAGTTCAGGGGTCTATAAAATCGACCCTGTGACGTCATCAAGGGGCTAGGTCCACATTTTTTACACCAGAATGTGTTCAATTGATGGGAAAACAGGTACTAAAAGTTTTGCTTTCGTATTTCTAAGCGTTCGGGAGCTATAGCAAATTTTTGCCGGGGGACCCCCGGACTCGCAAGGGTTAAAGAGGTAGGAGAGCATTTGCTCTGCTTCGCGTATTTGATTGCGAAGATCTAAACAAGCGCAGAGCGTGACATCAAAGAAATTCCAATGTCCGGTAACTCCGCAGTGACTGATCCGACCATATCCTGTGTCCGACCATGTCGTTATTTGGTGTGTGCTATGGCGTTGATCAGATGAAGCACGTGCGCACATGCTCGCCAAGCCCTTTGTTGTTTTCATAACCAGACTACTGATTGTGGGATATGATATATAACTACTCTTGTTTGTTTATATTTTCAAGTACGACTATCTTCATTAAGAGCGAAACTTGACTACCAGTAGCCCAGGCCAGGTTTTTGCCTCTTCATGAATTTTGTCGAGATGTATCGGGGACTACAGAACAGTCGGTGCTGCTCTTTTCTCTGCCGTTTGGCAGGCGATTTGGTGCTGGTCTCCCAGGAGACGGGCCTGGGTAAACACAATCGTGCTCGTAGCTGGGCTCTGCGCTGCGACGACGAAAATACGCCGGCGTTTCCACCGCACTTTGTCATTCATTTTTATCGACATTCTGGTTTCAGCGTGTGGCAGGAGAAAGGAGAGAATTTAGATGAATATTCACGAAGTGATCGCTGTTCTTGGTTGCGCTTTTTATAAGCGACCCCGGAGGTGCTGACAGCAATAACTAATCGTTAAAGCGGTAAATATCGGCCTTCCGCAGCATTTAAACTTATGGCTGTGGCCTTGGCTGTGACTGTAGCGCCGCGATATCACCTAAAACGTAAAAATAGCTCCATTATTGCGCTCCCGGACACAGTCTGGCAGTTTTAGCGAATGAGGAAAGTTAGCATTTGTTTAGAAACGTCTGCACTTGTCACCAAGTGAACAAACATTTAGCATTGGCATTTGATGGTCTCATTTTGAACTTGACCTAGAATATGGTTAGGGTGGCTCGTGGATGATTTTTGACGAGCTTTCGAATTCCGCTCGTCGCTTGTCACTGGGAACCGAGTGGGATGGAAGGCGTTTGAACGTTCCTCCCATTAGCGCACCGGAAATCGGGAGACCCAGTGGAGCGGAGGTCAATCAGGGTCTGATGGGTGGAGGCTGGAGAGACAAACATTTTTGGGGTTCTGATAGAAAACGAATACGGACAGTGATGTTCTCTCAGATCTTTTTCCAACAGCCTTCCTCGTCGCTGGTTCTTGGCTGAGAACTGTTTACTCTGAGCTGTCTGCTGGGAGACGAATTGACTTCGCAATGCAGTTGTTTTCATTACAAAGCTCGTATGTCCGTTCGCGGGACTTCATTCCGTTTCAGTGCCAGTGCCTCAAATCGTTTTCACACGTGTTGTAAGTCTTCTCCGTGCTGGTCACGTCTCAATTATCTTGGGGGGGAAATATGCAAATGGCCCGAGCTTTCTTCCGTTTACCCTGACTGCCAGAGAAAAGTCAAAGCACTGCAGTTGTTTTGGAATTGCTTTTAAGTCTCTCTTTTTATTTTTTTATTTTCTTTGAAGGAAGGCTCTTGCCGTTTTTTGGCTTCTTTTTCACTTTCATTATTCACTCTCACTGAAGTAGTTATCATCCCTTTGCACTATTGAGGCACTAAATGCGCTAACATTTTGTCTTCCTCGCCGTGTTGAAAACGTGAAAACGTGAAAATGGATCTGGACCAATCCTGGATGATCTCCTGAACCGACTTGCATCATCACCGAATATTATCAAATCCGACGAGTGTCGGGCGATCCGTGTTCACTCTGGCCACTGACCCTCGATGACCTGTGTTCCACAGGTGATCACTGGCTCCTCTACTGGTCTGGTTGAGATGTTTGTGGTGCGCTCCAGCTGAGCAGGCGGCGACCCGCGGTACGTCTCTCGCCTCCTGCTATTGGCAGATGGGGGCGTTCGGGGAACGGGGAGGAGGGGCGGGGCGTTGCTTTGGGCGACGGCGCGGCGGCGATGCGGGAATACTCGTGATGCTCTGATCGTGCCTCGATGAGGGCGAGGGGGGTAAGTGATGAAGGTGCGCTGTAACTTGTGCTGTGGCATCAGCAGTGGCAGTTCGTGGCATCTGCTGCATTCCGGGCTGTGTTGTGTCGGTCCTTGGCAGGGTTTGCACGGGGCAAGTTACCAAGATCAGCGGCGCGATTGAGGCCTTCAGCACGCTTCCCGTCTGACGACAATATGTTATTTGATGTTTGCGGCTGTGCGCATTTGCAAGTCTAAAATATTGCATTAGACGCAAATGTGAGATTTGGTTCGCGTGTAAGCCGGGGAAGTGAAATGATTCCTAAAGCACCACTGATGCTCACGTGCTTACAATTTTTGTGTGTGCAAGTTTCGTAACCAGCCGTATACCGTACAAAGTGTGTGTGTGTGTGTGTGTGTGTGGGAGCCTGACGCGAGCGGCTCGGGCGAGCGGGAGGACCTCGCCGCAGTTTCTGGTCTTTCCTCGGCCGTCAGTCGTTGACGCTCCGGGTAAGTATGATTAAAGTGCTGCCGGCGCGACGTGCGGGGCGTGACAGCGAGGGATGACATGGGTCTCAGGTGATACTGCGGACAGGTGTCTCCGCGGCGAGTATGAGAGGTTGGCTACCTCCAACAGGGTCCCAGCAACAGGCCAGCGACCCGTGCCTGTGCCGACGGGTCTCACTGCTTGGTAGTGTGATAACGGCGTTAAATAAACGACGATATTGTGACAATGTGGGTGTTTTAGCTGGCATTTGTACTCGATGGGGGTGGCAGACTTACGACACAGGTGTCGCTGGAAACCTAAAGGCGGGGGAGGTTAATGGGCGGGTGAAATGACGGTAGATGTTACTGCACACTGCGCAGGGTATGCAAGGTGCACTGTTGCACGATTTGAGAACAAGCCGAATGCAAGTTTGATATAGGTTTATGTATGAGGCTCGAAGTTTATAAACGTGAATAAATATAAACTTTGATATAAATTCAACCTTTAAATCAACTTATCATTATGGTTTGTGCAAGGACGAGGGTGAAGACTACTTCGGAAGCGTTAAGTTAGCCTAATACATCGACCGTTCCCAGCAAGGTCATCCTTGGTGCTACTTCTGAAAATTTTACAAGAGGAGCCAAAAAGTTCTGAATTGACTGTGGCACAATATGACGCTAATAGGATTGTTGTACTCGATATGTCAGCACAAGAAGCAGGTAGTGGCACGGTTGTTCGTGCTCCCTTCGCGGCTCGTCGAGCTGATCGACTGGTATACTGGTACCAATTTCGATAAATTTGATGCTAAGGATATTCTTGTTCCGAACCCTCGACATGGCTTCAAGTTTTCCCGACATCTCATGTGCTTCTGCGAATGAGATAGGCCTATAACTTGACATAAGCCGGCCATCTTTTATTGACGCTGTCGGAGATGACAAATATCATCACGAGTTTTCGGTTACCACGACCAAGAAGCATTTAGGAATGGGCTAATCTCTACGAGGCGCGAAGGGAGCACACTTGAAAATACTTCGCAATCAATTTGCTGTGCAAAAGTGGTGATCCCAAGATGGCGTCGCATTACATAATACACCGTCGATAGTGCATCGATGCTGTAACAACACCATCAGCGTTCAGCGCCACCATTGAATGGAATTATTTTATGAGAACTGGGCCTGGGACTATAACAGCAACTCAGCAGCAGACTTATGCAGTATAGTGTCTAATTTTTCACGGGCTTCCTACCCTATTTGCATGAATTGCAAATTCGACATGCCGACCGGCTTTGAGTTTAGACAGCCCCAACAGTGCAGTATAGTAGCACAACTGCGTCCTACGGCGCTTATCCCCAGATGAGTGATCTTTGAAGAACGCAGCCTTGGCGTAACCTTAGCGCGGGCAGGGCGGCCGGCTGAGAGTTACTCGAGCTGTCAAAACCAGAGCTCTGTTCGCCCCCGTTTATTTTCAGCAGGTTGCGACCATGCTGCTACTTCTCGGCTCCTCATTGGTCGAATTCAAGTGGTCTATTTGTTAGACCAATGAGAGGCCAAGAAGCGCCAGCAATAACTTCCTTACATGGGGAAAACCGACAGCACGCTGATATAAAAACAGCGACCGAACAGAGCTCTGGCCTCTTTACACTCCAGTCTGCTTAGCATGCTCCTGGATACGATCCGGGCTCCTGATCTGCGGTGCTGCGGTGAACCGAGAAAGGCATTTATGTAGAAAGGAGTTGTATCGGTCTTAGGGTTTTTGTTCGATATAATTGCATTATTATGTTTGTGTATGCGTAATGGTTTGAAATGCGTTTCGTAACTCCTCATTACCACGTGTTTTTCTTTCCATTCTGCTATTCAAATATTAATTGTATATTTACTCTTTTGTACTTGATTTCATACGATCTTGCCGTGAAGCCTATCTTTACGGGTGTACCTATATGCGAAATTATAGGTAAAAAAAAACTTACGAAATTATAGATTGGACCCCCGCGCACAAGAGAGTGGCTCTGTTTCCTGCGAGGCGCGACGCACAGAGGAGGCTGTCACCTCTATCAATGAGCTGCAGCTATTGATCTACAGTTGAAGCTCCGTCCAAAGCCTGGGCACCTACACGTGAGGCGTTTCTGGGTACGTGTCTATCTTCTTATAAGGTTGCTTGTTTATCGTTCTTACAAGTCGATTTACTCGCTATATGCCACACGGTAGTATTTTGTTTCCTTTGATCAGTCGTTTTAAGGTTTCGAAAAAACTTATGTGGATGGCTTGATGAAAAACTAAGGTGGAATTTGAACGTTTTTTTTTTCGGAAAGGCAAGGCTCTCACCAACCCTAAGAAGCCAATAATGCATCATTTTATTTCTTTCTCATGAGGCGGCTAATAAAACACCAGTATCGTGTTTATCCTTCGGTAATTGTTGATATTTTAGAGCCTATGGACCTCCATCTGGGGCCAGTTTGTCCATTCACTTACCTATAGCTTTGATTACGAACCTTGTCATAGTTAAAAGTTGTAATCATTTAGCTTCAAGCTCATGACGTCTGAATGCGTCTCATGAGACATTAGTATGAACTTAGATCCTATAGAAGATCGTGATTCGTGAGCATAGGCGCGGGAGCCGGGGGGGCAGTGGGGGCAGCTTGCCCCCCCAACTCTGGGGCCGTGGGGGCGGTGCCCCCACAGCTTTGAGACGGAATACCACACTTTTTTTTGCAAATGTTTTCTTTTTTGTTGAAAAAGCCGAGGGGTGAAAAATAAGTGGCCTAAAACCGGTGAGAAAACTAGATTTGGGGGTACCCTAGGTTGATCTCTATTATGGTGTGCCCCCCCCCCAGTCGGAAAGTAGTTCCCGCGCCCCTGTTCGTGAGTATTATGCGGCCCAGTGTCACCGAAACCCAACTAGCGCAGATCGCTCGATCAAGGACAGCATAAATTCGCTGTGTGGCTCCTTACGCAATGCGGACACGTCATGTGAACACGCCACGTCACAGAGAAGCATTTTAGGTGCAACGATCTGGTATATGTATATCGGCTTTGTCACGTTATTGAGTTTTTGAAGCGTTTAGTGCGTGCTCACGAGTCGCGTGCGTATTTTACAAATAGATATGCATCATTTGATTTTGACTCAGACCGAATTTCGCGTAGTTTTTTTCATGATGCAGAAAATAGACATGAATCTTCTGTTTGGCCTACCTTTACTTTTTAGGTGGATGATTAATACAAGCCTGTTACAAATTCATCTTTTCTTGAAACCACTCTTTAGCACGTCGCTTGATAAATGATGGTTAAGAAAAAAGGGGAATAAAATCATTTCTTTTAATATCAGTATCCAGTTACTCAAGAGTCCTGTGGGCTTTACAGTCGCTTAGAGTCCGCTCTACTGACTTTCGACTGCGGGTATATTGGACGCAAGAGCTTGTTGTGGCAGTTCGTGCCTGTTTTCCACTTACAGGTATATTGCGTGAATAGCACTTGTGCTAAACCTGTATTTAACAAAAGTAATTTGGAATCAGGGTTTTATTTTCAATATATCTCTTTTAATTGTGTTGTTGATGAAGTGTATGTGTATTGTGTATGCTTATGTTACATATGGTTCACAACTTTTTCCTTCCACCTAGCCACTTGAACGTGTTTTTTCAGAGAACGATTAAGTTGTTCAGATGAAGTTATGTTGCCTTTACGTAATGGCTACTAATGTGTCAGCACCCTAAGGGTTGAATAGCAGTGTGTACAAAATTTACAAAATTTAAGTGCGGGTCTCAGCAGCCGTAGCCGATCAGAAAAATAGGCATGTACTTTTTAATTTCGATGCAAACTTTCAATTTGTTTTGTATCTCCGATCGGATTGCGTCACAGAAAAAAAAAACGTTTTAGGGAGGTTTCGCATTTATTTTGTGTTCACTGATGTAGGGAGCTGTTCAAAGCAAGTTCTTTTGTTCTCTCAAGCTGATTATAGCGGAATGGAGACACTTTTGGCGCTGTTGGCCCCACGAAGACGCTGACGCCGCATTTTAATAACCCGCCGGGTGTGCAGGGTTTTTACACGCTAAAAGAGGTGAGCCGCCGGGCTCGATGCCGTGATCGCGCGCTTATTTGATGGTTATTTCAGAGCGGCGACGGACAATCGACAGGGCGACAGTGGTGGACTGTGCTTCTGAGCCTCAGCGATACATCTGTGCGCACTAGACGCAAGCAGAGTTAACAAATCTGTCGATAGTGTTTGCCTTTGATAAATAATACCGCTGTCTTTTTTAGCAATGTAATACACTCAGAGGCCGGAGCGTATAATGGCGTAAAGTCCGTGCAATGTTATTGCTAACAGCATACGGGACCCTTGTGTTTGTTCCAAACATAAAACGGCACATTGTTGAGGTACTACAGCATGCCAGCCCAAACTTGGTTGGCAATCAGCTCGCCTGAAAACGCCTCGAGGACGGCAGCATAGCAGAAAACTGCAGAGCGTCTGGGAAGGAAATTACTGATGTTATGCAATATATCCGGGTGCCAGCCGAAAATGTGCGGCATGAAAAGCCTCGCCTGTGGCGGCGAGCGAGCTGCAATTAATGGCATTGTCTGCAAAGCCACTTTATATGATTTCCCTTTAGAACAAGCAGAGCTCTTAACGGAAATGAACTATAATACCCTCATGCTTGTATAGCTTCATGGTATATCGCTGCCAGATTTGCTCTTCCGACCAGGAGTGTTCAGCTGAATGACCGTCCTAGGATATACCTTGAACGTCCCGCTCTGGAGCTGATTGGATAATGGCCTTATAACGTCATCATCATTTGTTCGAAAATGGGCAAATGGGTTCCCGAGAACGTCATAACACTAGCAAACAGGATCTCCGTGTACTGCCAGCCGGCCACCATTCAGCGGTGACCAGGGGAGCATGGATCATCCGAACTGATCGCTGGGGACCATTCACTCGTACTATTATTGTGTTCTTATATTTTCCGTTCAGACATATCACTTTCATGCGAGCTACAATTACCTGGTCCATCTAGTACGATTACCACGACTGATAATCAAAGTCAGTTCTGAAATAAATGTCTGAATCACTAGTAGTTATGCCTATTTTGTCCCGGACGTGAAACGCCCCAGGTCGAGTAACATGCTCATAAAACAATGCCGATATCCAATGACACACACAGCAGAGCACAGTCTGGCTAAACAGCCACCGCACAATCATCCAGCGTCATCACCCAGCCACGGCATCGGACACGCCCCGATATTGAGATCGTTCGCTGAA